AGGTGAGTGTTACATATTACGTAAAAAAAACAATAAGATGGAGAGGAGGAGAGTGATGACTAAGAATGATTTAGCCTTTATTTGTTAAGAAATTTATTTTTGGAGAGGTTTCCTTCCAGAAAAAAGTGATTTGAGAGTTTTGATAAACAGTTTGAGTAGCGTTTAAACAGTCAATTACGTAATCAATTTGGGACACCAAAAAATTATTAAAATTTAACTTTTATTTCTATAAACAAACATTTATTAAACAAACTAACATTTATTCATCGCAATCTTCAACTATCAACAAATCTTGCACCTCTTTAGGCAATTCATCTGCCACTACCGTTTGCCCATGGCGATAACTTGAAACAATGGGATCGGATGCAACAAGCAATCCACAACATATATCGTTCATTGTTTGCTTGCGTGAACCTTTCTACGCGTGATGCTCTCTTAGCTGCCTAATTTCTTTATTCATTGCTTCCTGGGCTTCTTCGGACATACGAGCAATGGGAAGTAATGCGTTATTTATTATTTGATACCCATGGACAAGCAACTTATGGAGCGTTGTAGGCATATTATACCATCCATATAAAGAAGCATAGCGTTTGGCTGCCTCTTTTGCATATTGGTGGAATTTTTCTGGGTCAACGGATTCTCCAGATGAAGCGGCTTGCAAAATCGTTCTCAATCGAATGATAAGATCAAGATCAATTCCAGTGATTTGAGATGAAATCTCAGCATTTTTGAAGAAACGTCTCGCGGTGTTACCTGTAGATAATAAGAACGATACGATTAGAATATTAACAGGTAAAAGGTATTAATATTGAAGAATCCTAGCGTGCAAATCAAAGAAAGTCAGTCTTATAAAATGCCATCTTACCATCGTTGCTATTTACAAATTTAGCACGAGGCTTATCGACGTGTAATCCAAGTTGCTGGAAGAAACTTTTTTGAATTCGAGCTTTAGCATTGTTGTACTCCTCCATATGTGCAGTTTTTATCCATTTTCGGAAGCTAAGTCGGTATGCTATATGTAACAGACACTCAAATGTTCTGATCCAGCAATGTAAGCTACACATACCGTACTCCAGATTATCCGAGATGATAGCTCTGTTGAACATTTCTTCAATGTCGTTAAAATTGGAACTCGTAGCATAGCAAAGGTAGCATCTCTGAGAAGATTTTGTATTGGTGATGGCGTTAACAGTCTTTCCATCAATCATAGTTAACATAATATCAAATGTGATTAACACCTTGATACCTGAAATTTCTAATTCGAATGGTTCTGAATTACAAATTTCGTCATTCATGCGCTCAAATTCTTGTTTTGTTAACTCGACAGTTTCTTTTGCAAATTTCAATGAAACAGGGCGACAGTATCGCGTAGAGGACGATCGAGGGTTATCCCAAACTACTTTCCGGTCGGTAATTAATCTTAATGGTACCACCGATGTTAAAAAAAATGTGAGCGTCGGAGCAGCTAGTTGAAACCTTCACGAACTAGATTTTCAAATTTATCTTTAACAAGTACAATCAACCGAGAGCAAGTGTGGTTCAGCAATGCTTGTAATTGAATGTTACATACAGTCTCCGTAATTTCAAAGTGCTCAAGTGATGGAAAGTACTCATTTTTCGAAGAAGATATTTTTTCATAAGATGGATAAAAAATTTTAACCGGTGCGCGAATGATATTGTATCTTCTTTTCGAAAGTTTTGCGTCGACATATATTGCCAAAGCATGCTCAATCGGAATGCTTGTCGTGCAGGTGCCTTTCTTTAGTAACGAAGCCAATTCCGCATTTCCTTCTGCTTGCAAAGCCATTCCTGCAGCAAATTTCAGTTCTTGCGGAGTAAATGAATTACGCAACACTTCTGTTTTTTGCCGCTTGGTTCGATCATAAATGTCTTCAAAATCTTTTGAAGGACGACCACCTACATTCCGCATTGTTAAAGATGATGTTGCTTCACCAAAAACGACGAACTCTTCTAACCTAAGAAATTAAATAAAAGCAAAAAATAATCAACCGTAAAAAACATGAAACAATAACTACAAACTATTGATCATTGGTCTTCAAAAACTGATCCTTTTTTCGATTCGCACTGTGCCATCTTCGTTAAAACTCCTTAAAAGCTTGGAAACGATCTCATCACGACCTTCTACCGCACATCCAACATATAGCGACACATATTGGTCGACAGCTTTGCGTTTCTGCTCTGCACGCACATTGCTACAGTTCAGATCACCCTCCAATACGTCTTTTCTTTTGAAGTAAACTTCTATAAAATATAAACAAATATTACTTCTAATATAACTAGAAATTTCATTGTGTGTTATCTATACCGTTTTTCTTAGAGCACATTTCCACTAAACCACACGATTAACAATTTGAAAGTATTTGCTGGAACTCTACTTTTTATCAATATGATCACCGATCACTGATGATTGTTTATTAGCAACTCTGTTCGGTATTGCGAATGTGTATTGACATTTGTTTCACTTTCGACAAGTAAAATGAGATGAGGTATCATCATTCTTTTGTTCGCTGCAGCGCGCTGTATGGTATCTCTTCGACAAGTGAAAAAAAAAGATCAATGTATATTATAGCCCACACTCAGAGGAGCATGTATGAAAGCGTTGAAATGAGATTGGTAAGGGACAGTTCACATTTTACGTAGTTCACATTTTGAGACTATCTTATCCCATTGTAAAACGTAAAAGAAATGAATCCTTATATAACATCAACCATAACCATCAACACCTCAAAAACGTCACGTGGTTTATGGACGGTCCCTAAAAATACCAATCAGTTTTGTCAGCTAACATGTGTGCGTAGCTGAATCGATCCATTGAATGAAAAACGTAGGTGATCGAACTTTTTTAATAATTTATATGATTTTATAGCTTTTGGACCACCCTAAGAGCAAAAAATACACAAGTAAAGTTAACTTCACTCTCAATGATGATTTCAAAACCCCCTAATAACCCTTTTAATTAAAATTTCCATTCAACTAACACATCGTGATAGCTTATTATTGATTACTTTTTACTTAACCCAAAATGAGCTGACTTTCATAATTTAGAACCACCCTAATATAATAAAACCAAAATATATGAAAAGTTTCATATCAGAAATACATTCAGGATACCAAAATCATCTTAACCTGTGAGTTTTAGCCATTTCGGTTAACATATGAGGTTTTGTCCGACCTTTGTATGGAGGCCCGCCACTGTGCATTGTGGCGGCCTCAATCTTCATCTTCTCATGCACAAAAGCAAATCACTTCTGGTTGACAGATTTTGCTGTAGTCTTGAGCACACACCGTTTGCACGAGATCCATCATAACACATAGCAAATACAACAAACTTTTCAGCAATACCAGCGCTATATCTCTGCTAAAAATATATAGGGAAAATAGTGCCATATATAGCGGAACAGATTATAAGAAACTCGTCCTCAGAAGGACTGCACAGTTTCTTCCGCGACAAGCTAAAGCATTCAAAAATTGTTGAAGAAGACCCAAAAACCGCATGGAGTATGTATGGATCTATCTTCGTCTGAAATTTAAGACAATCTTAGATAAAATAGTGGGCTTTAGGGACTTTTTGATCACTGAATTAAGTAATAGTAGAAGAAAGGTTCTAAAATTGTTTATATGTAATGTAAACTTTGTTTTAGATGCCAACAATGTTTTGTCTGTTCATGCTCTTTACTTGGTTTTATATTGTGAAAATGTGAACATGTAAATTGTGATTTATACTAGTGGAATAAATGTGTTAAAAAAAATGCTTTAAACTAAGGACACGGGGTATCACAATACATCAAATAACTGGTCGCAGAGGATTTATGTCCCGAACAGAGGAAAAAATGCACAATTACAATGTAGAATAACTGTAAATGCGAAATTTAGCGATAGGCCAAATGGTAAAAAGGTAAATTAATCATTAAACAATGACGATGTTCCTTAATAAGTAAAAAAAATCTCCTTCAAATAGATCGGGTTGCTCCTTAAATGATTGATAAAAATACGTAAAAAATCTTAAAATGCTCAGTAAATATTTAAAGTACGCTACCTAAAATAGAGAAAACTGGTTCATTAAGCATTTGAAAATGCTCCATAGTATGCACCGCTTTGCACCATTTTGAAGTGTAATTGTACCATATATCATCGAAAAATCTGCTGTAGAAAGGTTAATAAGTACCATAAAATCAGCTGAAATGTTCAGTAAAAATGCACAAATGCACACAATGATCTACTGAACATTTCAGCTGATTTCATGGTACTTATTAACCTTTCTACAGCAGCTTTTCCCATGATATATGGTACAATTACACTTCAAAATGGTGCAAAGTGGTGCATACTGAGGAGCATTTTCAAATGCTTAATGAACAGTTTTCTCTATTTTAGGTAGCGTACTTTAAATATTTACTGAGCATTTTAAGATTTTTAACGTATTTTTATCAATCATTTAAGGAGCAACCCGATCTATTTTAAGGAGATTTTTTTTACTTATTAAGGATAATTTCATCTGTTTTATTGAGCAAAAGTAGGGCTGCCTAGGCCAAATTGTATAGCCAGTCACCCGAAAAAAAAATCTAAAGCCAAAAGCATTTGGTTCCACAACCCACATCCTAATTTAACATGCTCTTCTTATACTTCTTGTTCTCTGGCAAATGCGTTCCAACTGGAGTTTTGCACCTACATTGTGTTCTTTGAGCACTGCCACAGTAGTTGATTGCAAGCATTCTGAGTCTGTACCACGTTTTCATTCGCATATTTTCCAGGAAAAAAATCCTTGACCCCACCGCCTGTGGCATGGCACTCCGTACCTTTGCTTACTAGGCTTTAGAGATTTCCCAGTTTTTACATGTACATATTATGAACAACAACGCAAGCATTCCGCCTGTTCTTGCTTGTCCAGTAGTAGTACTCAGCTCATCGAGCCTCATGTCTAAGCATAAAAATTAGTCCAATCCGCTTAGGCTCAAACTTTGACACTAAAACGTAATAAATACCTTGTAAAACTCTAGATTCTATGCACCAATTCCATGCTACACACCGGCTTGAAATCACTTGTTCAATCTCTCACTCATAAAAAAAATAACACACTTCCACTCTTCACTCGTTTCTCTGATTACAATCACCCGCCTTCTTTCTATTGGATGGCGTAATATTTCGTATTTTTCAATCACCTTAAAGTTACCCTACAGCCCTCAGGGTCGTTATTCGGTTCTCCTTTATCCTTCTCTTGCTCTATCACCACAAACACACGACTCAACCACCCTCTCATAATCCGATCAGCAATTATCGAATTACATACCCCCAACTCACGAGCTAGAACACGAAACTCCCTGCACTTTGCGCCGTTATGTTTCTTCTTCTTCTTCTGTGTTCTCTTTTTGTCACTTTTCTTCAATGCAAACACCCGGATGCTTTCCCGGTTTGGTGTCACTTTACTCCAGGACGACGAATGCTCACATTTTCGAAACCTCAGAAGGCGACAGCACAGAAGAGAGGATATCCTCTTCCCGTGGGGCAGAAATTTTCGAATCAAAACAAATCACCGATAATCCAATAATCACTGCGAGCACTCACACATCTTCTCTTGGTTTCGCGTTGTGCATATCCTTTTATTTTGGATATTCAGGGCGTTGATCTTGATTTATTTCCTGCTCCCTGCTAGTTTCATTTCACTTCACAGTAGTATGTCGCATTCGGTGCGCACTGATGCATCGATGATTTTTAATCCTCCGGGAAGTTTATTTGCACTCCCCTATCCAAAAAACCTTCTGGCTTGTGATTCACGGAAAATCCCAACCTCTAAGCTGGCAGTTGTCTGAACTTCTTCTATTTTTTTTTTCTCCCTTCAGTAGCAAACCACAACGACTCCCGTTTGATTCGATTAAATCCTGGCCGCAGGCTGCAAAGTTTTCTGTTTTGTCCTAAGCAAATACAAATGCGATAGCAATAGACGTAATAAAATATATACCTAAATTAGAATAATATCGAACGACGCATTCGCAAAAAAGACGCAAACGTAGCACAACAACCGCGACACGACGATGCTCAACCGGGACGCATCCAATCCCAATCGTGGTCAGAGGTAAACTGAGCCCTTTCGTCGTCTTTAGCCGTCGTCAACCGTCATCGTCATCATCAACATCAGCCACATGAACTGTGTCGATGCTCCGGAATAGGAAGAATGGGTGGCCCGGCGCGGTTTGCATCATAAAGCATAGAACATAAAGGAAATCAGAAAACATCGCACACGCAGCACGGAGCCCACCGACCTCTCCCGTAAACTCTTCCGTGAGAGTCGAGCGAGCGAGAGAGAGAGAGAGACGAAGAGCACGCTATCAAATCAGCAGTTCTCGCGGTTTTCACAGCATAAGGCGCAGCAGACAGCATTTCACAAAGCAGAAGCAGCAACGAACGGTGTGGCATAAAAACATTATGCTTTGCTTTCCGTTCTCGGCGTCCTCGGCGTCGTAGCTCCTGATTTCCTATTCACAACCCCTAATTTAAAAAATAAACACTGTTTCATGGGTTGCAGCAGCCGCGCGTTGCAGTTCGTAGCCCTCGAAGTCGGCTTTGGCACAGTGACTGACTGTATTTAGGCAGTAGGTACCCATCTAAGCTCCGGATGACTGATTTCGAAGGGAAGTACGATTTATTGCGCGCAAAAAATAGAAGAGAGCTCTACGTTGTTGTTGCTGCGTGCACGTGGGTAAGGGAAGACAGGCCAAAATGTATCCCTGAGGTAAAATGACCCGACGTGGGATTTTTTTGTGCCGAAATGCTAGTTAGCAGTGCTGCTCGTCAACTTCACGAATTAAGCATGGGAACGCTGGGAGAGAAACATACATGTTGGGTCATTTTACCTCAGGGGTGCATTATGGATTGTGTTCTCCTACTTTGGCTTGGATGCGGCTGAAATAGGCGTAGGGGATTGGAATGGATTGGATTTGGACATGATGGGATGACGCCGAAGGGTAGGTGCTCGAAATCATGCTTTTACGGTTCGGTGGAAATCGGATTCAGCTGTCTGCCATCCCCCGATGCACAATATCCAGGTAGGTACTACTTGTTGATGCGATGAATCGATCAGATGACGCTGCTCTTAAAAGAGGGACTGTGATCCGGTTCTTGAACAAAAATGTGTTTGTTTTATATGATTTTTAAATGGGTTTAATTTAATGCTATGGACAGTAACAAATCAATGTGATCTTCTTCATTTGAACGGCTCTATTGAAGTCTATCCTAACATGATAACGAGACTTTTTCCTTAAAAAAAAAAAATGTCGCTATGAAAACGTATGGGGGAAAACGAGACATTTTTTCAACCCATACTTTCAATGACAAGTTCTCGAAATTTTCATAAAATGTATGCAATGCTCTGAAGCTATCTGAGACTACCCTAAAGATCTTAAGACTTCCATGTTGTTCTGAACGGTTTGGATGTTATTGCTGTTTTCGGAACTGCTTTTAAATTCATGGCATTGTCATGAAATTCTCCAACATAAAATTATCATCATTTTACAAAAGTTCTTGGAACTTCGTTGAAGTTCCCGCAATTTTTCTGACGTTCATGGGACTCTTAACTTTTTTAATGTTTTATGGACTTTGTTTTTGGAACATCTGTAATGTTCCTGCAATTATGAAATTAATTGAACGGGCCTCTAGTTATTTAAACTTTGGATCTTCTCTACACTTTCCACAATTTTCCGGATGTTCATGGAACTGTCATGAAACTCTCAGAACATTCCAGAAGCCCTCTGAACTTCCCAAAAAATCAGGCCATTTTTAAATTTTTTTGACATCAGATGAAATCTGCTCCAAAAAACTAGACAACATATTTATTGGAAACATTATATTGAAATACTTACGTTGTCTGTACCCAGGGGTCAATTTGACCTCAAATTCGAATAGCCGTATCATAATGAAATTTCAATGGATTTCAGAAATTTTAAATGATTGGCACTAAATTTAGTTACCTTTCTGTTCAAATTATCAGGTTTTTTTTTGGAGGCTCAGCAAAGTAATCTACAGAATTTACTCACTAGATGGCGCTAACACAAAAATGATCAAGATGCGCCATCTTATATACACATTATACACCGAAACCTCCGTTTAAGAAGTCTTTTTTTTTACGCAGTATTCAGCTTACCTCCCTCATCTTAAGGAGTAAATTCCGATTTACGAGTTTTTTTTTGCGATTCTGGGAAACTGGGAAATACTGTCAAATGCTCCATAATATGGGTATTTTTGGAATCGGGGTAATGCGTAGAGTTCGCAAAGCGATGTCTGATGCCATTTTGAAATCCAAGTTAGCGGTGGCAAGAGGATAGATCCGATAGAAAAAACCGTAGGAACGTTGTGTGATTTGAAAAACGGAAGCAGTCATTTCTTCAGACACTCATTCATGTAGACTTGGCCATTAAGGGTTGTAGTTGACGGATTTCACGCCAACTCGTCTTCGGAGTTGGCAGCACCCTCTCAGAACCTTATGAAACTTTGTGGGTGTGGAGACTTAGCAATTTTAAGCAACTTTGAGTACTTATTTTTTTCAAAATTTATCTCGCCTAACATTTGATAAGGGTCAAAGTTTTTTGTCGATTTTTTTCAAATCGATATAGCTTAAAAATGACAAGCCCTACAAAATAGTGATGTATGGCGAACTTTTAGCAAATAATCTGAAATTTTATAAAAAAATTTAAATAAATTAAAAAATTGGTTTCTACACTCTAAAAAAATATATTTAAAAATTAAAAGTCATTTTCCCAAAAATGCTACCTCTCAGATTTGCTTGATATTTTTTCTCATGAAAGGCAATATAATTACCTAACTTTTCTTCATACATCGCAAAGTGGGCGCTTTTAAGGAAAAAAAGTTGTTCGAACAACAACTTTTTCATGTTAATTTTTTTTAGCGTGTTTCACTCAAAGTCGAATAGTAATACGCGCACAACCTTATTAAAATCCGTTGAAACTTAATGAGCATAAAGATTTTGACCTTTTGATAATCTGGGCGTGCTTAAAACAAAAATCTAGCCTAACATTTGAAAGGGCCTAATACAGATGATTTTCCTGCATTTCGAATGATGTTTTAATAAATGAAAACTCTAGTGTTTTTGTTTAGTGCATAATTTATTTTCCTATAATTCTCCATACATAATTTGAGTTTTTCATTGATTATTAGTCTATCGGAAACAGAGTGAAATTTTTCGGAGTTTCCTTTGAATGTGAAAATCGCTTAGTAGAAATTATGTTTTGAGAAATAGGTACAAAACAATGAAATTTTTGTGTACCAGGTATAGTTTTTACATGACTGAACAGCTAAAAAAATGTTGAAAATGAAGTTGTATCTTCGATGTACAATCCTTAAACCACACAGTTGAAACAGTTAAAGTTATTATTATTTACCTAGTGTATCATCAAATTCCTGATGTTCTGATTGCTGATGACTTGTTGATGGTTGCGGCTCTTCAAACTTCCGAGCATGGCTTGATTCTTTTCCATCCGATCGCCTCTTTTTCGGGAGAGGTGTCCTATTGTGCACTAAAATTCCACGACACGATTCACAAATACGCATTGTTACATCCAATTGATGATCAAAGCCCCATGAATGTATTTTCTCTATGAGACTTGATGATAAATTACGTAAATTATTGCGGCTGCAATTGGGATTGTTTATATTGGCACTACATTGCACCCTTTTAATAATCAATTCAGCAGATTTTTCCATTGTTGTATATATAAACACTTTTTCGTTTCAACAACTATGCAGCACTACACTTTCAACAACTATGCACTACAGCAACTATGAGCATTGTTGTGATATCACCAAACTTAAATATTAGATTATGTCGGTAGAAACAGACTGCGGTGCTTTAAGTTTAAACCTTATATCTCTCATGTGACTACCTGCGTTGTTATATAACTGCTATATAGCAGGTAACTTAACGATTATTTTAGGCATGCCTTAAATAATCGTTAAGTTACCTGCGCTATTATATGTATTCACTTGAGAGATGAGGTATAAACATATATGCATATTGCTTACTAATGGACACACCTAATACATAAAAATAAATGAATGATTATTTTTCTAATTAAATTAATCACAAATACATGAATTGAAATCTTTTCATGAATAAAACATACTAAGTGATTTTTACTTAGTTTACCTGTTGATTTGGAACAATTTGAGGGTGGTTTTATAGAAGTTGGATAGAGTGTATGCATATATTATAATACAATCCATCACAGGAAAGTGCAAACCATGCTGAGATGGCTGTTCCTCATTAGAACGTTTTGTTCTGAACTCTTATTGGACGATTTGCAGGTAACTTCTCTGTACCCGTTTTCAAATGTTAGGCTAGATTTCGCCCAGATTATCGAAAAGTATACCCATAAAGTTTAATCGAATTTTAATAAGGTTGTGCGCGTATTACTATTCGACTTTGAGTGAAACACGCTAAAAAAAAATTAACATGAAAAAGTTGTTGTTCGAACAACTTTTTTTCCTTAAAAGCGCCCACTTTGCGATGTATGAAGAAAAGTTAGGTAATTATATTGCCTTTCATGAGAAAAAATATCAAGCAAATCTGAGAGGTAGCATTTTTGGGAAAATGACTTTTAATTTTTAAATATATTTTTTTAGAGTGTAGAAACCAATTTTTTAATTTATTTAAATTTTTTTATAAAATTTCAGATTATTTGCTAAAAGTTCGCCATACATCACTATTTTGTAGGGCTTGTCATTTTTAAGCTATATCGATTTGAAAAAAAATCGACAAAAAACTTTGACCCTTATCAAATGTTAGGCGAGATAAATTTTGAAAAAAATAAGTACGCAAAGTTGCTTAAAATTGCTAAGTCTCCACACCCACAAAGTTCCATAAGGTTCTGAGAGGGTGCTGCCAACCACTGGATGAGTTGGCGTGAAATCCGTCAGTTGTTACAAAAGGATTGCTCCGTTTCCCGCACGAACAACTTGCCTGCCAAATCATGAATTTCTTTCGACTCCATTTTAAAAACTTCTAGAAATTTCACAATGAAACTCACGCAGTGTAATCAATACACGCTGAGGCCATCTCACCCAAAATTTAACTAAAATTAACCCAAAAGTCAAAATGTTACAGCTTTTTGAAAATTATACAATTTAACTGTGGACACCCTATGTGTCTAACTCACGCATGTTCTGGGAAACCATGGTACTGTCACCACAGTATGGAGTACAGCTGTTTATAATTACATGAGAAAGACACTTAACAGCGGTGGGTGGATTAATCTGGAATTTGTTTGAAATAGAGATAAAATGAGAAATAAATACAATCCAAATTTAACAGATATAAACAAAATGGATACTGGCGACAACGGCTGATGAGGCAACGAAATCCTACCGCCAAGCTCCTCCCCTTTTCCTATCGACCCAACTCCTACTTGACATATAATTAAGTGAGTTTTGTTACAAACAAAGAACAATGAATTATTGGCTCCGTAAAGCTAACGCGATTGAGCCTCACAAATAAACAAACTAGATAAAAAAAACAAAATTTGAACACGTTGCTCTCAAATCGGTTCAGTACAGTGAGTACACTTAATTCTGCTTTAACGCGATTTTTTTTTTCGCCTCTATTTTTGATCGTGTGATCTCAATTTGCAATCACAAAAAAATCAAATAATGAGGACATAGTCGCAAAAATCAAAAAAGCGTTAAAACAAAATTGTGTGTATTACTGTTTGACCGAAAAAATACTACTATTTTTGTCATATCTCTGCAACCAAACGACCGATCGTGATGAAATTTTGTTGAGTTCTATGAGCTAAAATACAAACAAAATAGATGCACTCAAATCAGTTCAAAATTCGACGACAAAGTTGTTGTTGTTGTTGTTGTTCTTTATTAGTGACATTTTACATCCTGCGGATGAATTCATGTCAGTTGAATTGGTTTTTGTGTAAACAGTGTATGGGTGTGTTCAGAGTGATGTGAGGATGAGTGTTAGTGTTTACGATACAATTCAAAATTCACTTAGCTTTCTTATCGTTTGCTCGTTTCCTGGTTCATCGTCTGCATGCTCATCTCATGTTTTACACTTCTTCTCCATAAATTTCTTCTTTACTTCTTCTATATATATATTCACCATCTTCATTCATTCGAGTTCGGGACATCGTTGTTGTCTATAGCAACCGCGTACGCGCTCGGAATATTATTGTGTTTTGGTGGTATTTCGCGATCGATTGATTCAAAAACGCCACCCGCAGCTAGTGGCTAGTGTTAACTAGTGACAAACATTCAAATCCGATCATTATCGGTGAAAATTTGGGTGATAATAGTGCGATAAAAGTGCCTCACCGCGTGGTTACAGTGGAAACAACAAACGGCCATCGCGTCGTTCGACGGTTGTGTAGTGTGGTCCATTGAGGTTTCTTTGCTGTGTGACCCGAGTGGCAAGAGGTACACAAGAGTGAACAAATCGATTTTTTCGGTTTTTGGTGAAAAGTTTTTCACTGAAAAGGGAAGTGACGGGAGTTACTTTTTTTTGTGATTTCGCTTTGTAGGCGTGACATTGAAGGAGCGTAAGGTAGGAAAATCTTTTGTTTTTCTTTATTTTACCGTCTCTGGGGTAAACAACGGGTGACCGTTGTTACTTTTTACCTTTTTCCAACGTCCGCCGTGTAAGCGCGAGAAAGTGGTAGAGTAGTGTAAGGCGGTAATGACGGCCGCTAGTAGCGGCGACCCTGGAGGGTCAAGGGAACAATGGCCAAGGTTAGGAAATTCAACGCGTGAATTTGGTTCACTGTCATACCTTCTGTTAACCAGTAAGGATACAGAAAAACCTTTAAAGTCGGATCCTTTCATTGTTGGAAAGTCGGTAGAAGATGCTGCAGGAGGGTCAATTGAAGGAGCATCGACAGAAGCTCAAGGAACTCGATACACGCTCAGAGTAAGAAATCAAGTCCAGGTTAATAAGCTACTTAAGTTGTCCACTCTTTTGGATGGTACTGAGGTAGTCGTTCAGCTGCATCCCAACTTGAATGTGAGCCGTTGCGTTATTTCGTGCTTTGAGGCGATCCGCATGGAGGAGAAGGACGTCCTACTTGGTCTCATTAGCCAGGGGGTCATCCGAGTCCAGCGAATCACTCGCAAAGAGCACGGTAAACCAGTCAACACGTCAGCCCTGATCCTTACGTTTAACAGGAGCAACTTCCCGTCGCATGTTAAAATTGGTGTCCTCCGTGTCGCTACCCGTCCGTACTACCCTAATCCTCTCTTGTGCTATGGTTGTGTCCGATACGGCCATCCCCGTGTCCGATGTCCTGGTCCGAAACGTTGCCTTAACTGTTCTGCCGATCATGAACTGGCGGAGGATGAACAGTGTGCAGCAGCTGCCCACTGCATCAATTGTGGTGGACCTCATCGTCCGAACAACCGTCAATGCCCGGTTTATAAGAAGGAAGTGGAAGTGATCCGTCTAAAAGTGGATCATAATCTGACGTACCCTGAAGCACGCAAGCGAGTCGAAACAGGGACAGGAAGTTACGCCGCAGCTGCAGCCCAGCAGACTGCCGACCGGAAAAAATTGGAGGAACTGGAGAAGAAAATGGAGGAGAAAGACGCCCAAATTGCTCAACTTCTTGAAGTGATGAAGAAGAAGGACGAAAAGATCGACAAATTATTGGGACACATTAAACTGATTCGAACACCGCAAGTTCAACAAACCCCGCTAGCTCAGCCGAGTAAACCGATCCATCCTTCTGAAAGTCAATCGAACCAAGCAATCGATTCGAACCTGCATTCTCAACTCATGAGAAAATCCGGAGAATCGCAGATAGGCACACCGTCGATGCATCTCAGAAGTAGATCGCCAGCGACAACGGAATCTAAACACAACAAGAAGAAGAAAAGGCATGACAGGAGCAACAACACCTCACCCGGCCGACAAAGCCCACCGCTGAAGAAGCCCGTTGAAAAAACACCGACATCCGACCAGGAAACGATAAGCGTCGACGAGGATGAGATCGAAGAGACGCCCCCTAGTCAGCATCTTCGATAAGATTCATTCCTCCAAACGTTTACCGACCAGCAATACTTACCGGACAAGCGAAACGGACAACGACATCGATCGACTTGAAGGGAGGGAAAGTGTAGTACCCCCTTCACTCTCACAGGAGAGAGCGCAGCAGGCTGGAGGATCCATCCGGGACGTCTTACCCCAACCCGTTGATGGAGAATCCCCCTCTGCGGTCGATTATGAAACATTAGAGCAACATACCACTTACCTACCTACCATAATACCACCTCGATATCACTCGCTTACATCCAATACACCCATATGGCCATTTTCCAACGAAAGCAGCCGTCGGCATGTAGTGCCAATCCAAAATCCACCGTCAGCCAACACTAGCTACCACAACATTGTGAGTGCCACCGGCACGATTATTCCTAGTAACCGGTTCAGGAATTTTTCCGCCGGTGAAGTTCGTCGTCAACAGCAAAGTCGAGATTCATCTCCACCGTCAGCATTACTGCAACAGACAGTATTCCGAAATCGGTGTGGGGAGGGAGAGCGTGAAGTAACCTCCCCCCTTCCCAGGACGGAAGTGGATGTTCAGGGGGACGAGAGTGGGACCAGTCACGAGTGTCTTGCACCCTCTGTTCCCTCCTGGAATCCGGCCGATATGTCAAGTCCAACGCGTAGACCGTCAGCATCATCTTCGTCATCAGCAACAGTCAGCAGTAGTCATCCCACGAAATGTATTGCCCTCCAGTGGAACATACGTGGTCTACGTGCCAACATCAGCGAGCTCAAATTGCTCATCAGCCAGCATGAACCGTCCGTTATAGCGCTGCAAGAGACGAAAGTGGATAATTGGGTGGTCGCGCCAGACTTTGCCGGCAAGAACTACACCCTGCTTCTTCAAACCGGTAGTCGTCGGTACTGGCAGCAAGGAGTGGGCCTTGCCATCCGTGAAGGGGTTCCATTCGAGCGCATCGATATCAATTGTGATATTCAAGCCATTGCAGTTCGCATCCATCTTCCGACTCCAATGACGGTAGTGTCGATCTACATATCTCCGAACTCCCAGCAACAGTGCCAAACAGAACTAAATGATTTCTTGGAGCGTCTGCCCCCGCCAATTTTGGTACTTGGCGACTTCAATGCACACCATCCCGCCTGGGGTTCTACGGCATCGAATGCGCTTGGCCGCTACATCGCTGAAAAGACACTGACGGAGCATCTGATAATCCTGAATGACGGATCACACACGCGGGTGGATCCAGCAAACGGTTCGTTTTCTGCCATAGATCTTTCGATCTGTTCAGAGGTGCTAGCTCCCAGATTTATCTGGCGAACACTTCCGGATACCCACAGCAGCGACCACTTTCCAATCACCGTCTCTTTACCTGAATTCTCACAGATCGCCACGAAGCGAAGAAGATGGCTCTACGACCAAGCAGATTGGACATTGTTTGAACGACTGACTTCCAGCAGCATCAAACCGGATGACGAGATTGGCGTTGATGAGTTCGTAGATCGGATATTATCAGCAGCAACCGCTAGCATTCCTCGAACATCAGGACGAGTTGGTTCCAAATCGGTACCATGGTGGTGCCCGGAAGTGAAAACGACGATTAAGCAGCGTCGAAAACTTATGAGAGCACTGAAGCGCAGCAGAATAGCAGGATCAGACACAACGGATGTTTTGAAGCAGTTCCAGGAAGCGAAGGCAGCGGCTAAGAAGGCAGTGAAGGAAGCTAAGGAACATTCGTGGGAGGACTTTGTCGGAAAAATATCACCTAGCAGCACAACGGCAGAAATGTGGCGGACGATGAACACCCTGAGAGGCAAACGACAATACAGCAAGGCGGTTATCAAGCGACCCGATGGCTACACGGAGAAAGTGGAAGAAATAGCAGAAGAACTGGCCGAGCACTACTGTGAGAGATCAGCGACCTCAAGCTATCCCCAACTGTTTCAAACAGCGAAGGAAAGAGCGGAACGGGATCGCGTGGATTTTCTTCCGGACAACGACGAGATATATAACGCGGACTTCACCCTGGATGAGCTTCTGTGGGCACTCGACAAAGGACGTAGTGTCTCTACAGGTCCTGACTCGGTAGGGTATCCGATGATCCGACGTCTGCCTGTATCCGTCAAAATCGCGCTGTTGCAGCTTCTAAACAGAATCTGGCGTAGTGGCGTTTACCCTATCAGCTGGCGAACCGGAATAATAGTGCCAATTCCGAAGCCAAACTGTTCTGAATCTGGACCTGCTGCTTTCCGACCTATCACTTTGACCAACTGCATCGCAAAGGTGTTCGAACGTATCGTGAACCGCAGATTGACGACTGAGTTGGAGTCGAATGGACGACTGGATAAGAGGCAGCACGCCTTTAGAGCTGGAAGAGGCGTCGACACATACTTGGCGGAGTTGGATAGGTCATTGCCAAATCGGGACGAACACTGCTTGATTGCATCGCTTGATTTGTCGAAAGCGTACGACACCACTTGGCGGTACGGTATCTTGCGTACTCTGCGTAAGTGGCAGATGGGTGGGCGCATGTTCAACGTACTGAACAGTTTCCTCACCGACAGATCTTTCCGGGTGAACGTGGAAGAACATTTATCGGATGAAATGCCATTGGAGAACGGAGTCCCCCAAGGATCAGTGTTGTCTGTCACGTTATTCCTTATAGCGATGCAGCCGATTTTCAGAGTGGTGCCGCATACTGTTGCCGTGCTTCTCTATGCGGACGATATTTTGCTGGTGGTACGGAGGAGTAAGGAGCGTCCTCTGTATAGAGATCTACAGGCTGCAGTGAAAGCTGTCGACAAATGGGCGAAAAGCGTCGGCTTCACAATTTCCGCGACAAAATCAAAAATTTTCTACGGCAGTCCCAACGCCCGTCGAGAACCCAGCAACAATATATTCATCGACCGTACAGCTGTACCGAGGACGAATCAACTGAAAGTTGTTGGCGTCAACCTTGACCGGTCGCTGTCCTTCAAACACCATTGCAAGGTAGTCAAAAACACGTGCGACTCTAGACTGCGGATCTTGAAGATGATCGGGGCTAAACTTCCGCGAGGGCAACGCGATTCTCTGTTGGGTATCGGATCAGCAATCGTCACGTCGCGACTTATCTACGGTATCGGGCTCGTCAGTAGAGCGAAGGATTCGGTGGTGCAGACTCTTGCACCCATCTACAACCGGATGGTCCGGTTCGCCTCAGGGGCGTACGTCACCAGTCCGATTCCAGCGATTATGGCTGAAGCAGGCACTTTGCCATTCGATTTAATGATTATGCAAGCCATAATTCGTGCTGCAATTCGTTTGATGGAGAAGGATTCCAGGAATATCGATCTTCCAGTTGTGGAACGAGCGTCCGATCGCCTGGCGACGATTGATGTAGAGCTTCCAAACATCGCTGTACGAACACGTCTAGCCAACCGAGAGTGGTATGAACCCAAGCCGCATATTGTTTGGGATGTGAAACGGAAGGTGAAAGCTGGGGACCCCCCGAATACAGTGCGTCCCATCGTGCAGGAGTTGCTGGCTAACCGGTTTAGCCGTGCTTTGGCTATTTATACGGATGGTTCTAAATGCGAGAACATAGTTGGAGCAGGTGTATTTAGTAGCAGCATTCAGCAAGCAATAGGTCTTCCGTCACAATGTAGCGTTTTTTCGGCGGAGGCCTTTGCAATCAAGTCGGCCGTCATCGCTGCAAGAGCATCAACCGAATGTGTTATAATTCTGTCTGATTCGGCCAGCTGTCTTTCGGCCATAGAGAGTGGTAGATCGCAGCATCCGTGGATCCAGGAAATCGAGCGCTTACTACGTGGACGGCCAATCCACCTTTGTTGGATCCCTGGTCATGCCGGAATTCGCGGTAACGAAGAAGCAGACCGTCTAGCCAGTGAAGCACGAAACAGTCCACCAATCAACGTCGCCGTACCAAGAATTGATTCCATCAAGAACATGAACCAAGTCTTTCGTCAGCTATGGGAAGCACGTTGGGCACAATTGACAGATGTGAAGCTCAAGGAGGTCAAAAGGGAAACGAAGAAGTGGATCGATCAGTACAGCTCTGCCGATCAACGCATACTCACTCGTCTGCGCATTGGTCATACTAGGGTTACGCATGAATTTTTGCTGAAGAAAACAGCTCCGCCAGCATGTGAATGCTGTGGGACCGTTGTTGACGTTCGTCACATTATTCTGCACTGCAGAAAATTTGAAGCGGCCAGGACGAAATACGGAATCGATTCCACAAGCCTTTTTACGGCGTTACGCAACGACGATGATTATGAGAAGCGGTTGCTGAAGTTTCTGCATGAAACCAAACTTTATCGGAAGCTTTGAAGGGCGAAGATAGAATGGAAAGGAAAATGCAGGATATAGGAAGAAAACGAAGCGGAGGATGAAGAACAAGCAAGCGATGCAGAAGAAAAATGAAGTCTGAATGGAAGAAGATGTCGGACAGGAAATGGAAGAAGATGCAGTGGAAGAATGCTACCGATGAATGTTGGAAGCAAATGAGTTCATGAAGAAGATGCTGAATGGAAATCGAAGAAGATAAAGTGAAAAAGGATGAAGATGAAGCAGAAAACGAAAGAACTACAGAAGACATGAATGATTATGAAGATGCAGAAGAATGAAGATAAATATGAAGCGCAAGGAAGGAACGGAGAAATCGAAAAATAATGTGGAAAAGATATATGGAAGATCATGAAGAATGAAGATGGTGAATATATATATAGAAGAAGTAAAGAAGAAATTTATGGAGAAGAAGTGTAAACCATGAGATGAGCATGCAGACGATGAACCAGGAAACGAGCAAACGATAAGAAAGCTAAGTGAATTTTGAATTGTATCGTAAACACTAACACTCACCCTCACATCACTCTGAACACACCCACACACTGTTTACACAAAAATCTATTGAACTGACATGAATGTATCCGCAGGATGTAAAATGTCAATAATAAACAACAACAACAACAACAATCACTCTGAACACACCTACACACTGTTTACACAAAAATCAATTGAACTGACATGAATGCATCCGCAGGATGTAAAATGTCAATAATAAACAACAACAACAACAACAATTATTTTTCAAATTCTCCGTTCCTTGTTGTTGTTGTTGTTGTTGTTGTTGTTGTTGTTGTTGTTGTTGTTGTTGTTGTTGTTGTTGTTGTTGTTGTTGTTGTTGTTGTTGTTGTTGTTGTTGTTGTTGTTGTTGTTGTTGTTGTTGTTGTTGTTGTTGTTGTTGTTGTTGTTGTTGTTGTTGTTGTTGTTGTTGTTGTTGTTGTTGTTGTTGTT